CTCGTGGCGCTCGACAAGAGGGGGGGCAGGGAGGTTCGACCTGACATGGCGGGCGCGCCTCTGCGGCGCCTCGGACTGCGGGCGCTGGCCCAGGCGCTGCGAGCGCAGCTTGCCGACGCGGCGGGCGGGCACCAGCTCGGGGGTGGACAGAAGGGCGGGGCGACCGTGCTGGCGAGGCACCTGCGAGCCTTGGTGCAGACCCGGCCAGACGCCACGTTCATCAAGGTGGACGTAAAGGCGGCCTCCCAGCGGACGAGGCGGGACCCCGCATTCCGCGCGATGGCGGCGGTAAAACAGGGCTAGGATCGGGATAAATCGCTCCAGAGCGCTCCGGAGCGAGAGCGTTCCGGAACGCTCTGGAGCGGCCGCGGCGCCCAACACGTCCTCCAAACCCGCCGATTCTCAGAGATGTCGAGTGATCCCGATCCGATTTTTGCCCCGATCTTCGCGTCGTTTGAGGCGGCGGTACCCGAGGTGGCCGAAGTGCTGCAGCCGTGCTGCGCGGAGCCGGCCGAACAGCACTGGCGCGGAGCCCCAACGGGCAGCTCGAAACTGTGTAGAGCCGCCAGGGGGGGCCCGCTGTCCCCCGCAGGCTCTCCCGCCAGCGGCACGCCTTGGAACAGCTCTTGGCTGAGCTGCAGCAGCGGGACACCGACGGCGGGCTCTTCTCTCACCTTAACAACACCTGCCTTGTGGTCAGGGCGGACCTCGGAGCAATAACGCTGGCCGCCCTGAGCGAGGTGCTTGTGCCGCTTGGACTTGAGCTCGACGCTCGCAAAACACTCGTTTGGTCACCGGCTGGGGCGCAGGGCCCGAAATGCCGGGCCATGTCGCGCCAGTCCTGCCGGTGCTCGGCGCGAAGCTCCGGGCGCCAGGGGACGCCGACGACGTGGCACCCCACCTCGGCGGGCAGGGCTGCGGACCCGACGCCGCCACGACGCGCCTGCAGTTGCGGGCAATACTTATGTTTATATCCACTGCAGTATGGAGTTTCGGGCTCCCTTCCCAAGAAACCCGAGGCGCACTGGATATGGATAAATTTGCCCCCTAGAGGCTCGATATTTATCCATATCCAGTGCGCCTCGGCCTTGTGGCGCCGCTTCCAAAACAGTCCAAGAGGCACTGGATATGGACATGAATCTTGTCGGCAGCAGTAGCTCTGGGCTTGCCTCCCGGAGCTCCAGAAGAGCCTCTCCAAGCAGGCAAGGGACGCGCTCTTGAAGACCTACGCGGGCAACGGCAGCCAACACTGCCCCCCCCAGCTTGGCCGGGCGAGGCTTGCCACTACGACGCGGCGCTGAGGGCCTGCTGGGAGCAGTTGCTGGACCGCCCGCTGGGGCCAGAGGCCTGCGAACTGCTGGGCCTGCCGCGCAGGCTCGGAGGCTAGGGGGCCCAGTGGGCGACCGCGAGGCGCGCTGCGGCCTTCTGGGCCGCCTGGGCGCACGCCGCTGACGAGGTGCGCCGCGACTTGGACGCCGTTTCGCTCGCGGACGCGCTGGATGCTCTCCCCGAGGACGCAGCGACGCCGGCGGGGGCGCGCGCAGAACTGGCGCGCCAGGGCGCAAAGCCGTCCCCCGCGGCCCCGCTCGCCGCGGCGCTGGCCGACGAAGCAGACAACGATGGTTGCGCTGCCGCCCGGCAGCGAATGCACCTGCGCATTGAGGCTGTCCGTCAGTCCCCTGGCTGGCAAGGGTCTGTGGCGTACCGGCAGTACCCCACAGAGGCAGCGTGTGTGTGTGTGTGTGTGCTGGAAAACGTGGAGTAGGCCGCTGGGACCCGCAGCTGCCCATTGCCGCCGCGACCAGAATGCACTCGTGACGAGTTCGGGCAGGCATCTGCGACGTGTTGCATGCAACCGCGCGGCCGCTGGGGCCTGCTGCCACGCGTCCCTTGACGAGGACGGCTGCCACGACGCCACCTACCAGCCCGGGGAAGGCGTTGTCCGGCGCCACGGCGGGCTCGCCAACGCGGTGGGTGGCCCGGCGGCGCGGTGGGAGTCCCGGCAGTTTGTGGCCGGCGGAACGCCCTCCCGAACACCGTTCCATGCACCCTTTCGACGGCGCACCTTCTGGATGGCCCAATTCGCCCCGCCTAAACGCAAGGCCGCCCGGTGCACGAACAGTGCGCGCCCACCTGTGATCGCGTTCGACCCCGGCGCCCGGTCGAGGGTGCCGGCCCCGCCACTTTCGAGCAACACAATTGAATTTTCACCACGAGGACGTGGACGGCAGGCGGTGCGTGGACGTCACCGCACGCCATCCCGCGGCCGGCGGTGAGTCCGCCGTCCGCGTCGCTGCCCGGAGGCTGTTCGCCGTGGAGTCCGCTGGGCGCCTCGGCGCAGAGGCGCGCAAGTGGCTGGTCAGCTACGCGCGGCAGCTGCCAGAAGACTTAGCACCAGGCCGATTTGGCGCGCGCGCCTACTGGGTGGTCAGCTGCGCAGTCCAGCGCCACGTGGCGGGGCAACTAAGCCAGGCGGCGGGCATGCGCTCACTGGGGCGAGGAGGGGGAGGGGCGCGAGGAGGGCGGCGTGGAGGAGAGGAGGAGGAGAAGGAGGAAGAGGCGGAGGAGAAGGAGGAGGAGGCGGAGGAGGAGGAGGAGGAGAGGAGAAGGAGAGGAGAAGGAGGAGGAAGAGGAGGAGGAGGAGGAGGAGGAGGAGGAGGAGGAGGAGGAGGAGGAGGAGAGAGGAGGAGGACTGGCGCGAGCACGCCGCTGCTGGGCCGCGGCCGCGGCGCCCAATACATTCCCTCTAAACCCGCCGATTCTCAGAGATTTCGAGTTATCCCGTCCCGATTTTGTCCCGATCTTCGTTTCGTTTTTACTTTTGGCTCTGGCCCAAACTGCGGGCCGGTGTTCGCGACGTATACAGCGCCATCGTCGCGCAGCAGGATGCACAGGCCCCCCGCCCGACGCAACCCCTCCGCTCCTGGGGCCTGGCACCCGCTGAGCGGTCTCTGGCTCTGGGGCTGGTGGCTGGCGCAGCTCCAAGATCAAGGTGCCTTGGGCCGCAGGGACAGGCGCGTTGCGCCGCACAGGAGGAGGTGGATAGGGTATAGGATGATGATGATGATGATGAGGAGGAGGAGGAGCGCACGTCCCTTGGCGAGTCATGAGTTAGTGCCTCGCGAGCGCCCCATGGTGGATGGAATGACAATTGAAAAGGGTAATTGTCGAGCTGATGCGGGGCTTCAATCAACTCGACACGGAGCTCATGGAGGACCGAATACGCGAGAGCGACCAAATCATGGGCGACATTCGCAGACAAGTCAATATCTTGATACTTTTCCTCCGTCCTTGGGCCAAACCATAGGAAAGGGGGGGCGGTCGGGAGTTCAAGGCGGGGCAGAGCTATCTGATGAAGCAGGCAGGAACAAGAGAGGTATTGAGAAAATGAATCAGGACAGCCAGGACACCCAAGGCTGCACGGTCATTGGGAGAAGAGCTTGACCCTATGGCTGCTGATCCACCCCCTGGCCTAGGCTGTAAAGAGGGCCCAGACCTTTGCAGGGGCTGACGGCTAGCAGCGCACGGAGCACGAGCAAGCAACCATGCGCGGATGCCAAATCAAGCAACTCTTCTCCTGGATACCACGTACGGAGCCGTCTGAAGACGAGTTCGTGGAATATGTCCGGACATGCGCTCGCAATGAGCGTCTGGGTAAACAAAAAAAACACCAACAAAAAAAAAAAAAAAAAAAAAAAAAACTGCCTGGGGCTCCTCCGCCGGTGGTGCGTGCCCACGCAAAAAATGCCCAGCCGACGCAGCCTGGCCTCCCCTGGCAGGGCGGCGGCGGCGGACGTCGGGATGGCGGCTCTGGCGGCCGCGCAGGCAGCAAGGAGAGGAGGAACAGGGCAGCGGAGATCACAACCGGTGGAGAACTTGTGCGAAGGGGCCCCAGGACACACAAATTCGCCGGCCAAACGGGCCAGAGGCGTGCTAAGATCTCCGGTAACTGCTAAATAATACTTCTACTTCGCGCGCGCGGGGCGGCCCCTGGGGTCCCCGGACGAAAAGTACCCCGGGCGATCCCCGGCAGGGTCGGATCAGAGATGGTTTTCCTCCTGGGCGCCGCCCCCGTGGCCCTCCAGAGAGCCCCAAGAAGGGCCACGAGGCCGCCAAGAGCCCTCCAAGATGGTTCAACAGTGCTCCGAGATGCCACACGATCGTTCCAAGACGCCCAAGATGGCCCCCAGACGCCCCAAGAGGCCTCCAAGAGCACTCCCCAGAGGGGCCCAAGAGGCAAAATTCATTACTTTTCCTTAGGTTTTGGGCAGATTTTGGCGTGTCCATCTTTTCGGCTTCCCGACGCCGCAAGACGGCCCAAGAGGCCCCCAAGATCGCCCCAAGAGGGCCCAAGAAGCTCCCAAGAAGGCCCCAAGATGGCCCAAGAGGGCTCCAAGACGGCCCCAGAGGCATCCAAGACGGCCCAAGAGGGGCCCAACAGGGCCCCAAGCGATGCCCCAAAGGGGGAACACAAAACAAAACTTCGAGCCCTCGGCCTTAAGAAGCCCCAAGGAGGCCTCAAGAGGCCCCTGAGAGGCCCCAAAAGCCCCCAAGAGGCCCTCAGGAGGCCCCCAAGCGACGCTGAAGAGGCCCCAGGCTCAGTCATGCGAAATGGGCCGGCGGAATGAGCGAAGCGATTCAATAAATTCGCACAAATACAAATATTCCCCATATCTTCCGATATTTCCTGGGTAGTTGTCTTCCCCCCACTTACCACATTTTCCCATATTTTCCTGGGGATCGACGATTAATTGTGTCTGTGTGTTTTTCCCCTCCTGATTGTGATAGTATCGGGGAATGCCAGGCGTGTTTTTCCCGGCAG